ATTATAAATCAAAGTTCAATTCATTGGAGAGTATCATATGCTGGGTAGAGCTAACAAATGGGGTTGATTTAATTTTATTATTACACATGCTCATCAATTTAATTTAAAAGGACTTCATCTCACCTAAAAGCTGAAGACATGAATAATTAAAAAAAGAAAAAAAGGAGAAGACCAAGAATATATCACTTTTATGCATGCTTCCTTGAAAAACAAAACTGTGATTCACTTCATAAAAGATCATTCTGAACCATTTCCACTCTCCGGGTCTCTTTGAGTTACCTTTTCTTCTTTTTCGTCTAAATTATTTGATTAAGATATTTTAATCAACAAAAAACCCCTATAAACCAATGCAAGCTAGGTTTACCATATTTTCATCAATTTAAGTTATAAGAAAAGTTCTAGTAAAAAGTGAACATATGGAAAAGTACATCTAACTCTAGACGAGATAAAAAGAGGGGAAGAACAAACAAACCGGGCAGTGCTCGCCATTTTGAATATCGACATTGAGAAATTGAGCTGCAAGGTTCTTCAGGGAACGACTTCGCCCATCCCTGGTTCATCGAGAAAAGTACTTTAAATGTGTAAGTCTCATATTCATTATTATTATTATTATGGTAATTACTACTTTGTTGTTGTTCGCTTGCTATGTAAATTATGCAATCAGTAAGAAAAATAAATAAATAAATGAATTACTTCAGAAAAGGTGCATATTCCGACGTGTCTCTAATATCTTTCTTCGGATGACTTAACAGCAATGCCTACGAGAAAATTGATGTATATGTATTTGATAAATAGTTAGATCAAATAAAGGCTTTAAATGAAAAATACATGGTCTGGTTATGCACTTTAAGATCATTCCTCAATGCATGACCGACAAGTATCCTGCCATGGATCATCTCAGCAACTGTCTTCTGAACAACATTGAAATTCTTAGCTGCAAGTGACAACAGAAATGGAAATAACTTCAAAAGTGTCGAACGGAAATGGAAGCAAAACAAAATATTTCAGGATGCATTAGTGTACTGACATAAAAAAAAAATAAAAATAAAAAAAATAAAAATAAAATAGATAGATAGAATAAAAGAAAAAGGAAGAATTGAAAAAAAAATGGGAAAGATGAAACTAAAAGAACAGAGAAAGGTTCATAAAGCTCTATCTATATATGCGCCTATGTGCATATTTTTATTTTATGAGGCATCAAGCGGCACATACATTTATTAATTATTTCTTCAGGTTTTTAGACACAATTTAAAAAGCATGAGATCTTTTCGGTAAACTCTCTTCCTAGAATACTATTTCGAACTGTAAAACAATTGGACAGATATAATTCCATCCATTTTTCTGACATTCAAAGCCAATCTATTGGAAGTTTAAAGGTTTCCCATTCATCTATGTTATATTCGCAAGTCCAAATTCCATATGAAATAGTTTAAAGTTGATTTCAAACAAAAGCAACAAACGCCTACACACAAGATGAGTTCATCACTACTCATATTGTTGGATGAAATCAAATCAAACTAAGGAAGTATAACCAAAAAACACAATGTACTTTACATTTTGAAGCACTTCCGGCATTGGCAACAGCACAAAGATAAGCAAACGAAGAAAAATGGTATAAATTGTTATCCACTTCCCTCAAATCATTGTAAAGCAAAAGCGATCACTGATCAGTAGTCCTTTAAAAACTCCATAACTAGTGAAATTATATTATAGTAAAAAAAAACCCACAACACTGATTTTGATAACTAAAAGAAGCCAGCAGCACCAAATTATGAGTATACACATCAAGAATGACATCTAATGGGTAGGTCTCTTCCAGTATCCCTCTCCAATTATAACAATACAGTCTAACCAATGAAACAACAATAAATAAAAAATTAGACTGCAAAATCGAAAGAAAGGATCACCTTTTCTCAAATCACGCGGTCGAATTCCACTTATTTCTGTACGGAAGTCAACAACATAATCAACCGGGCGAACATACTCATCATATAAGACATTTCCCCATTTGTTTACCTGCCATACAAGGTGGAAGTTGATTTCAGAGAGAGAGAGAGAGTAATATAAATCTCAAGCCAGCATGCATAGATTTTAATAACTCTTTGTTGCTTACTAAGAACAAGAAAATGCATTTATTTGGGGGCAAATACAACAAAATGTTCACTTAAAGCAACATGGTCAAGAGTAATGTAAAAGTGAGAAAAGAAGTTACCAGTGTAACTCTCCCAAGAGCACTCTTGTTCCCAGACGAGCTAACACCTACCATTTCACAATCCATAGCCACCTCATCTGTGAGACTGTGGGGGCAGATTAGCAGCAGGAACATCAAACGAGACATAAAATGCAGACAATATTTAAGCAAATCACGGGGAAGAAGGTAACAAAAGGGTGCCACATCGAACATTTTCGAGACATTTTATGATTATTGAGAGCCCACAATCGTATTGCTGAGTTTCAATGCACAATCAAATAATTATTTACTTGCATGGGGAACTAAATAATGAATTAATTCAAAACAAACATGAAGGAAAAAATACAACACAATCGTATTTCCTGAGTTTCAATGTACAATTTCAGCAAGCTTATTTTGTAATGTCAGCTAAAAACTGTCTCAACTCTGTTCTTACACTAAAAGACACAACCTTTATAGAAAGGACTAAAGAAACACCTGCAATCTGAAGAAGTAGGGATCAAAGGATTCGGCTTCGGAGCTTGAGAATCCTCTTCCGACCGCTCTTTGCGTTTCCCTGAACTTACCCCAATATAGGATCAAGCAAAAGTTGCAAAGTCGAATGAATTAGTCAAATTTGGGTAGAATTTCGCGGAGCCCACAAACATAAATTCATAACCGTGGAAACAGAGAAGACGAAGCCTTACCCAATATGCTTCTCTCGATGTCTTTATCGGGTTTGCTTGAGCGTTTAGAAAAGTGGTTCTTGCCGCCATTGATTTTCAGCTTCTGCAAAAACGACTAACATCGATTACAGCAGGCTGAAACCCAAGAAAAAATACATCTACATAGAACTGAATCCATCATAAAAGATAGCAGCGCATTGAAATTACCTCCTGAAGCTGAGCCCAATTGGGGTTGAGATTTTTGCTAGGGTTTTTCAGTTTGCCAGCCATTGTTGAATTGCTTTTTACTCCGGCGCTTTCAATTTTGAAGCAAAACCACACCTGTAGTCGCGCTTTTCAAAATCGTCTTGATTTTGATTATACCATTTTTTGGGTCAAAAAATGTTATTAGTATTTTATATGTTCGTAAAAATTAGAAATGTGTTTACATTATTTGTAAGTTGTAAATGAGTCTGACTCAAGTCGTGTTTGAACTCTTGATATTCAAGTTTCGACTCAATTTTTTGAGCTGCTCATTGAATTAACGAGTTGATAAATGAACTCTAATTCTCTTGTTAATAATCCTTAACAAACTGAAATATGCTAAAAGTTTAGAAAAATATGTAAAAAATAAAAAATAAAACAACTTCTCAACCTTACAAAACCGAGTAGTTCATTTCCTTTAACAACTCTAATTATCTAAATATAAACTAGTATATAATTCGTGCAAAGTAGAAGAAAGTAAGATTGAAACTATATTTACAATTAATTAAAAGTAATTAATGATATTTGGACAACATAAATAATAATATAGATATATAAAATTTATAGATTATTGAGTATCTCTTCGTGTACAGTGTTATTCGTTTGAAAAGCGACCAATGTTACAAACTAAATGTCGTTTACAAACAAAAATCTAATGAACAAAAACTTAGATTTTTAATTTTTACAAAATGACTAAAAACAAAAAATATTACAATATATATATATATATATATATATATATATATATATATTGATGCAAAGAGAAAAATCGAGGCCATATGATCTATTTTTGCAAAATAAATACGCTTGGTGTAGTGATGACAGGTCAGTTCGTCTTGTCATAAAAAATACAATGACAAATGTTTAATTTGAAAGATGCAACACACCCAACTTCAGAACTCCTCGAATGAGTTTTGAGTCGAGAACTAAGCAAGATGTTTATGTTATGATGTGTGAGGCTTTCTCAAGATCAATGATACAAATGATGTTATGTCTAATGAACAACTTGATTTGGTTTGAAACCCTAATTATATATAGGGCGCTCATTTATTTCACCCTATTATAAAAGTATATTTAATTTTTTCACATAACTTGTTGTCAATTTAACTTTTATCATTTCATAAAATGCGAAGAGTTATGTGAATCTGCATATTGTCGTTTATTCACCGTACAATACCTTTGCACTTTAACTTTTCCACCCCAAAAAAGTGCAAAGGGTTATGCGAATGAACCGCGTAACTATTGTATATCTATCGCATCATTGTCGCGTATCTATCGCACAAAGCTTTGCACTTTTTGGAGTGAAAAAATTAACTTGTCAGCGGCGATTTTGCATTTTAAATTTTTCACTTCAGAAAGTACAATGGATTATATATGTGCGAATAGACTGCATAACAGTCGTGTAACCATTCACATAACTCTTCACACTTTTGGAATGAAAAAATTAAATTATCAACTAGCTGTTTGAAAAGTTTAATTATTTAATATATGTTTATAGTTGGTTGAAAAAGTTGCACGACCAAAACTTATATGTATCCAATTGTTTTCCATCACATAGGACTTGTTTGCTTATTAATTTACTAACAAAAAATCCATTCTCAACTCAAAATATAACTTAACATCAATATATATTCTCAATATTATCAATATAATTATATAATATCCATCTTACACACCACACCAACTTTAATTCACTATTCATTCATTTACATAATTTCAGCTACCACATTCCATATCTATTTTCTACTTTTAAATCAATTTAACTTTAATTATTTGATTTTAAATATTATTTTAATATCCCACTAAAACTTAATCATTTTAAGATTAATCATGATTAATAAAAGAACTAATAAAATTAAAACTTGTTAATTGTATACAAATATATTAATTTTTATTTTTTACATGGATACAAATACAATCAGTGCCTTGTTGGCAGTTGGCCTTGCTTAGCTTTAGAACTCCATCCATGACCTATGAAAGTCCCATAAAACACCCAAAATAGCTGATCCACCACACCACCACCGTTTCACTCAGAAAAACCAATTTTTATTTTCACGAGAAGATCAACTTCTTCGTTTTGATCTTTTCCTCTTCCTCTCCTTCAAATCCATGCATATTACAAAGTCAAAAGACTCAAAACCTTTGCATCATCTTTTAAGTGCCACGATAGCCTCATACACTCACCCTCATATTTCCACGTGGCATTTCACTCCACACCCAAAA